AAACAATATGGTGGTTCCTCAAAAAATTTAAAATAGAGCTATTTTTAATAGTTTTGGATGATTCAGTAATTCCACTATGGAGTATTTACTCCTCCAAATGAAAACACTAATTCAAAATGATATATGCCCTCAAGGGGCGCCTTGGGTGGCTCAGTTGGTTAAGAGCCCGACTTCAGCTCAGGTCATGATCTCACAGTTTGTGGGTTCAGGCCCCACTTTGGGCTCTGTGCTAATAGCTCAGAGCCTGGAGCCTGCTTCAGATTCTCTCTCTCTCTCTCTCTCTCTCTCTCTCTGTCCTTCCCTTGATCACGCTGTCTCTCTCTCTCAAAAATAAATGAATGTTTAAAAAAGTTAAATAAAAAAGATATATGCCCTCCTTTGTTCATTGCATTATTACTTACAATAGCCAAGATATGGAAGCAATGTAAGTGTCCACTGATAGATGAGTGGATAAAGAAGATGTAGTATGCGCACACAATGGAATATTACTCAGCCATAAAAAAATAATGAAACCTTGCCAGTCACAACAACATGGAAAACACCTCAAGGGTACTGCACTAAGTGAAATGAGTCAGAGAGAGACAAATACCATATGAGTTAATTTACCTGCGGAATCTAAAAAACAAGGCAAACGAACAAACAAAACAAGACAGAAATAGACTCATAAATATAGAGAATAAACTGGGCTGTCAGAGGGGAAGGGGATGGAGGGGTGGACAAAAGAGGTGAAAGGGATGAAGAGGTACAAAACTCCAGTTATAAAATAAATAAGTCATGGAGATGAAAAGTACAGCCTAGGGTATCTAGTCCATAATGTAATAGCTTTGTGGGATTACAGATGGTAAGTACACTTGTCACAGTGTGCATTTCATAAGATATATAAATGTTGAATCACTGTGTTGTAACCTGAAACTAATATAATACTGTATATCAACTATACTTTCATTAAAAAAAAAAAAATTCTTTTTTTTTAAAAAAAAAAAAAAAAAAAAAAAGAGCCAAGCCAGCTCAGAACATAGTTTTGTCTTAAGCAATGAGGAAAGAGAGTGAAAGGGAAGTTCCCCGCTGCTGGAGGAAGCTTCTCCTACAGGAAAGGAGAGAAGGAGCTTCAGGAAGGTCAACATGAAGGTGAGTCACTGTCTGAGTTCTGTAAGGGCGCACAGCCCTGCTTGGGGGGTGGAGGGTGGCTGGGATAGACATGGGCCGCAGTGAATAAGTAGAAAGAAGGTGATACTCCACTGCTCTCTTCAGGGGCCCCAAGGCCTGCATATGGAAGGGTCCAGAAGCTCCTCAGCTCAGCGGCCTGGTTGACAAGCTCTGCAGCTGGAGAGCAGGGCTTGGATCTTTTTAGTCTTTGCACACCCATGGTGCCTCATCCTGTGTTTTTTCCCAGACAAGATTTTTCTGCTGTATAAGACTCCCCTCCCCCTCCCACAGGGACACCCAAGGGCCATGCTGCATGGTATGGCTCCTCTCTGCTCCATAAAATACCACAAGACAGCCTCAATGGCAAAAAATAAATAAATAAATAAAAAATAAAAAAATCCCTGAATTCCCATTATGATCAAGACTTTGGACCAGGTCTTTAGGAGATGAGCTGGGAAAGTTTGGGGGCCTTGGCATGTATGTCTTCTCCAGTACCCTAGCACCTAGCACTTTCTTTAGACTTCTCTCATGGAGTTGAGTTTGACAGTTACATCTCCATGCATCCTTACATCCTTACTAGTCAGCACCTTGAGTCCTGCTCTGCTGCTGCTGGAGAAGACAGACAACCTCCTTGAATGCTTAATTTGTGCTGGAACGTTCCAAGCACTTTATTTACACTTACTCATTTCATCTGTGGATAACTGTAAATTCTATTATTATCATGCCCATTTTTCAGATGAGAACGCTGAGGCACAGAACCATTTAGTAATCTGCTGAGAGCACAGCTCAGTCGCAGGCCAAGGAGTGAGACCCCCGTGGCTTTGGCCCCCACGCTGTGTCTGATCTCCCTGTGTGCCTTTATGGATCCCAGCGGACAACAGGTGCTCAGTAAAGATTGAGTTTTAAAGAATCATTGCTCATCAGCCCTATTACAGATGTGTTATGATAGAAGCTTCTGGATCTGCTTTACCTGGATGTCAGCTATAAAAGCCTTTGTGTTTGGGGGCGCCTGGGTGGCTTAGTCGGTTAAGCGTCCGACTTTCGCTTAGGTCATGATCTCGTGGTTCGTGGGTTCGGGCCCCGCATCGGGCTCTGTGCTGACTGCCAGCTCAGAGCCTGGAGCCTCTTTCAGTCTGTGACTCCCTCTCTCTCTGACCCTCCCCTGCTCACGCTGTCTCTCTCTCTCTCCTAGAAATAAATAAAAACCTTAAAAAAAAAAATTAAAAAAAAAAAGCCTTTGTGTTTGTCTATTTCCTCTTCCTTCCATCTTCCCTCTTTTCTCCCCCCCATCCTTCATCTCTCTCTTCCTTCCCCCCTCCCTTCCTCCCTTCCTCCCCCTCCCCCCTTTTTTCTCCCTTTCTCTCTTTCTAGTTTTGCCCACCCACCACCCTGCCCATCTTACAGCAGAAGATCTGGCAAAATAGAGGCTCTGAACTCATAATAGCTTCAATGTGCACTCACTCCCAACTTGGCCCGTGACAGGTCCCCTGCTCGGCCAAACTGTGCCGTCACCAGCCTGCAAGCTTCCTGGTGATCCTCACATTGACTCCATGTGACGCACCTTTGGGAGACTGACATCAATCTTGCTCTGAAGCCAGGGAAATGGACCCGCCGACAACCCCCCACCATCCCCCTTTCCGATTTTCAGAGTCAAAACCATAGTCACCTTTGTGGTTTAAAATATCCTCCCCCCCCCCCTTAATTAGTCCCAGGAAATAACACTCTGACTTACACACAATCCTACCTGAAGGCCTCTCCACACCCTTCCAAGGCTCTGTTGAAATGATAACCTCCTCCCTCAGGAAGCCTTCTTTGCTAAGCCAAGTGGAATTGAACTTCTCTTGTGTGAACTGTAGCCCTTAGCTTTTCTGTGCTGTTCACTCCCTAATGCCGCTATTTAGCTTCCCCGGGCCTTGCCTCATTCCCAGCTCCAGGCAGGACCCACACTGCACACAAACTTGGTCCCTACCCCCAGTTTCCGCAAGCAGATGTCGTTCCAACATTGATTGATATGTTTAATGAATCCCACATTTCAAGAACCCAAACTGACCATACATAACTCGAGGGTGGTTTTTCTCCATTTAAAGGGAATTCTGAGTCACAAATCCTGTCCCTGTCCTTCACCCCACTCCCCAACCCCCCCCCCATTCCTGCTTGAGTAACAACAATGTTAACAACCATTGCTTCTGCCGCACTCTGCACCAAGCCCTGTGTTAAGGACTTCTCTGGCAGTGCCTCACTTAAAGTCTAGAGAACGTTATGAACTCAGTCTGAATTTCCATCTCCATTCCACAAAGAAGGAAACCTGCTGGACAGGCTGCATAATGTGCCCAAGATTGTACAGCTCGTGGGGAGCAGAGTCGGGATGGAAGCCTCTGATTCCGAAGACTTCACTCAGCTTCCAGAGCTCCAGACTTTCTCTAGCTTCTCAGGCAGCCCCTCCATCTCAGCATCTGGCCGGATGGTTCCTCCTATCTGGGGTCACCCCGGGCCACATTCTCTTTTCCTATGGCTGGATCTCCCCGCGATTTGAAGACAGTTGTCTTCCCTCCCGTCTAAGTGACCCAGAGTGGACGTCACGTCCTCTTGCAGCCCCTTTCTAGATGTATGCTGGCCTGGTGACAGCTCTTCCCCTGCCCTCCCCAACATCCCTTTCCCCAACAACTTAAAGCGGCGAGGTTTGCTTCGTGGCTCTAGGATCTGGACTGAAATCCATCGGCCAGAGGCTCATTCAACTACAGTCCCTCCCAGAGTCTCCACGAGAGACCGATGGCGGGGGGGGGGGGGGGGGGGGGGGGGGGGGGGGGGGGGGGTTTAGACTGCACTTGTTTCCGCGGTACCCTGCGACCGCGGTGAGTGAGCCCGGACTGGGGCGTCTCCACCTCCCCCGCACCTGACCCGGGTACCGCTCCAGCCCCGGCCTGACCCATGCCGCTGGGGAGGCGAGGCCGGGCGGCTGGTCCCCGCGGCGGGCTCTGGTCCCCGTCGGGGCACTCCGCTGCGCAAAGGAGAGGCCCCGAGAGCTGTGGCCGCCGGCCGCCACCCCGCGTGGCGGGTCGGGTCGGGGCGCCGGGAGTGGAGAAGTCCGGGCCCCAGTGCGGAGAGTCCGGGGCCGGCTTCTGGCTGCCGGCCGTGCGCCCCGCCATCCCGAGGTCCCCGCCGCGCCCGGACACCTGGATTGCATTAGGCGGGCGGCGCGCGCCTGGGCGACGGCGGCTTCCTCCGATTATTGACTAATTGCATAATTTCGAGGGCCGGTTGCCCCGTCCCTACCCCGAGGGTCAGGTAAGGTTTCTGGGGCCCTGGACTGCGAAGCTGCGCCTGTCGCCTTTGGCCCGGCGGGGGACCGCTCGCCACCGCCGAGGGGCCGCCGCGGGGCTTCGTCTGACCCCGGCCCGAGCGACTCCGGGCAGCTCTCGGCGCCCAGGACCCCCCGGCTCTCCGGGGCCGCCGCTACCGGCTCCCCAAACGTCAGGCGGCTCCCTCCGCCGGCAGGAGGGCGGCCGAGGAGGCGCTGGCGCCGCGCGTCCCGACCCCTCCCAGCCGGGGCCACGCGCCCTCCGCGCTCCCGGGACGCCCGGGTGTCCCCGGCGGGGCGCCCGGAGGTAGCCAGCGTGTCCGCCCGGCGCCGTCAACCCGCCGCGCTCCTCAGCCGGAGCCTCTTCGGTCTTCCCCGCCTCCTCCTCACACACCCAAACCCCCGGCTCCGAGCCGCCCGGGCGCCCTCTTTTGCGAAGTTTGGCCGAGCCGCCAGACTTGCAGCCACTTCTCGGGGGACCCGCGTTCCCCTCAGCAGCCAGACTCGGACCCTCCGAGGGGCTCCCACCCGCACGCGGAGGCAACGGGGCCCGTACCTGGCCACAGGCTGAGCGCCCAGGCCACCAGGAGGCCCCTGGGCAGGTCCATGGCGCGCGGCGCGGCGGCGGCGGCGGGTGCGCGGCTGCGGGGCGACGAGCCCGAGCGGCAGCCTCCTCGCGGGCGCCCGAAGCCTGCACTGCGCGCCGCGCGCCGGGCTCCCTGACAGCGGCCGCTCGCGCGGAGGAAGTGGGAGGGCTCGCGCGGCGGGGAGGGGCGCGCGGACACGCTTGCGCCGGGCGCGCGGCCAGTCTCGGCCCCTCTGCCACCTGGGCACGCGGCGTGCCGCGCCCCCCCCCGCCCCGGCTCCATCTCCGCACGTCCCCCCTCCGGTGCCCCCACTCCACCTCTGCCCTGGGGGAACCCCCTAGAGAACCGGTGCGGCGCCTCCCTCCGCACCCCGTCACCAAATGCCAAGTCTCTGCAGCAAAAGTGGTTTATAGTCCCGTTTTCCCAGAAGGAAGAGGTTCACCAGGGTAACTCTGGTGACCCGGGGACACTGGCCGAGACTCAGGTCTCCCGAGGCCCAGGGGAGCGGTGTCCCTCCAACGTCAATTCCTCTGGCCGGAGCTTGGAATGCAAAGGCCTCGGTGTTTCTTCTGCCCCTGGAGTGAATGCAGATCCCTGCTGCACCTCCACTCTGCCCGCCCCTCCTACCTGAGGCACCCCGACGCAACCAGGCCGATCCTGTGCCTACTTTCACACGGGACACTCTTCTTTGAAATGCAGCCACCTTCCTTCCCAGAAGTTCAAACCCCCTGACAGTTAAATCCAATGCACATTTGTTGCACAAACTTTAAATCAAGCCCTGGACCAGAACCAGTGAGTGTAAACGCTGCCCCCCTCCCCCCCCACTGCAAGAGAGAGTTGGGGCAGAGGGTGGGATGGAGGAGGTAGTGAAAGTGAGCGCACAGACCCCACACATCACTTTCCGGGGAAGCCGTCCTTCACCCCCACACCCACCCAATCCCTGTCCTCACCAGGTCAGGTCCCCAGGTACATGCTCTCTCTCCCTCTCTTTTCTTCGGTGTACTTAGTAAGTTGGTGTAATCATTTGATTAACTTTTCTCTCCTTATCCAGACTGAAAAACCCATCCATTAAGGTAGAAATCTCTCGTTCACAGCTGAGTACTCAGCCCTCAGCACCCATAGTAACCAGTGGATGGATGGATGAATAGGTGAATGAGCACAGGTGGTGTGTGGGTGCCCATAAGAATTTTCTGTCTGGGACGGATTGGAAGGACTTCCGAACGGAACCGGCATTCAGGCTGGATCCTGGAAGATTGAGGTGGGTTTTGAGAAGAACCAGGTTCACATGAGTTTAGTAATAGGCATCGTGCCTGCCTCCCCAACATTGCTCTCTTCTTGCTAGGATACCCTGGTTTTTATTTCAGTAACCTCACCTCTCCCACTTAGCCACAGACGTTGGGGGAACCTCATTCCACCCCCACAGGGTGTATGTGTGTGTGTGCTGGGGGAGGTATATGTGGTTTAGGCTGAAGTGCATCAGTGTATTACCACCCTCTGGCCATAGTTGGAGAAAGGGAAACATGAAGGAAGGTTTTCAGGGAAACAAGCTTTCTTAAATTTCTACAAGGGACCCTAGAATGAATGAATGAATGAATGAATGAATGAATGAACAAATGAACTCTTTTCTCCCTTCTCCGACTCCCACACCCCTTCCCAAGTGGAGACAAAGAATCATGTAGGCCCAGAAGTAGAAGGGGTTGGTACAGAGGAAGGAGATCTGTCGTGGGAGTGGGACGGCAGGATGGAGAACCCAAGTCCTTGAGGGTCTTATTGAACCCCTAGGTCAAGCCACCCCCTCAGCCTGCTCCCCTGGGGACTTTCCAGTCACATGACCAAGGAGTCCCCTTTGTTGTTTAAGTGGGCTTGAGTGAGGAAGCTTTGAAGCTAGAGCATCGTACTGGTAGCAGTTATCACTTCCTTGTCTCACTCAATTTCAGGCTTTCTCTGTGGCTCTCAAACTCCAGGTATTTGGGGGGTTGCTTGAGGCACTTGTGAAGACCAAACACCGCTTGCTGAAGGAGCTCCCTGTGGTGGGCGTGCTGCTGAGGGTCTTGGTGTAACCATTCTGCTACTCTGCCCTTCATTAACTCCCACTGTCCTGAATAAAGCATGTGTGCCTTTTCAGACTCTGGCAGGGTGGGGTGGGGGAGAGGTGTGCCCTCCCTCTTTCAACATGCAAAACACAGAAGAGAAGCCCACACTGGAGGTGCTAGCAATGGAGCTGACAAGACAAGACATGATCATGTGTTTATTGATGTAATCATTATTTATTATTTAATCATGTATTTTGATCATTTATTATTTAATGACTATAAGCATTATCTAAACTGTACCAGGCAGCAGCGTATGGGCGATAAAGGCACAGTGTAGATTCAGTCTGGAAAAACTCAGAGACTCAGATAAAGGGCTTTATGGACGCTGGGATTTGAGTTGAGCAATGGTAATAATAGTACTAATCCTTTCCATGTAGGTAGCATATTTATTTTTCTTGAGATAATTCACATACCATAATGTTCACCATGCAATTCAGCAACTTTTAGTTTCTCCACAAGGTTGTGCAACTATTACCACTAACTTCATCTTCATGATCCCCAAAAGAAACTCTGTAGTCATTAGCAGCTACTACTCATCCCCTCACCCAAGTCCCTGGAAACTACAGATCTACTTTCTGTCTGTATGGATTTGTCTATTCTGAACATAGGAATCATCCAAGAGGTGGCCTTTTGCGTCTGGTTTCTATCACCTTGTAGCCAAGGTTCATTTATATCGTAGCAAGTATCAGTATTTCATTCCTTTTATTGCTAAATGACATTTCACTGCATGGATATACCACATTTTGTTTATCTACTAGCCAGGTGATAGATATTTGCTTGTTTCTACTTTTTGGCTATTATGAATGGTGCTGTCATGAACATTTGTATACAAGTTTTTGTGTGACCTTATGTTTTCAGTTCTCCTGGGTATATATCTAGGCAAGGAATTCTGAGTTGTATGTTAGCTCTATGGTTAATTGAGGACTAATGAACTGTTTCCACTATGGCTTTTACACTCCCACCGGCAATGTATGAGGGGTGTACATGGTGTTTCACCAATTTTGAAATCATCCTTTTCACAACTTTGATCTAATTTAATGCTTACAAGAGTCCTGCAAGGAATTATATTCATTTTTATAGATAAAAAGACTACTGGTGAGGGTTCTCTTAGGTGCAAGTAACAGAAACTCTACTCAAAGTGGCTCAAGGAGAGAAGGCATTTACACACGTATGTAGACAGAGAGTGCATAGGTAATTGCTGCAGGTATGGCTGGATCAAGAGTCTCAAGTGAAACTCTTATCTTTTTTCCCTCTTCTTTTAGCTTTGCTTCACTCTGCACCCCTTTCCTGCAGCAGACAGGATTTCTCTGCCTTCTAGGAAGATGGAGCCAGCAGACCCAAACTTATACTTTATAGATTCTAAAGGGAAAGAGACAGCCTTCCCTACTCGGTCCAGAAGAAACGCCCAGAGTTTTGGTTCATGCCCACCCCAGAACCAATCAGTATCTGAAGAATATGATACTATAATTGTCCCAGTCTGCGGCATACACCCAGCCCCAAGGAGCTGGAAAGAGAAGGGCATTATGACTGACATCCCCAGTAAGCTGGCATATCATAGGAGTAGAGTTCCCTAAAGGAAACAGATAAAGGGGGGTGACAAAGGATGCCAGGCAGAAAAATCCATAGTTGCTAAGGCCACTTGAGAAATCTAAGCTCCAAGGAGCAAGGGATTTACCCAAGATCCCACAGATCTCGCAGAACTGGGATTCAAACCCTGGTGTTCTGCCAGTGCACTCAGAACTCATCACTGCTTCACAGCTGGATGGACGAAGCAAGTGTTTTAGACCCGGACTGTATGAGCACGGTCAGCCCAGAAAGGTCCTGGGGATGGGATCTCGGGCTCCCAAGCTTCCAGTCTGAATGCCCCCTCTTGGCAAGGGGGGAAGGGTGGTGCTCTGACTTCTGTAAAAGGGAAAGGTAGAGGAGATGCCATCCCTCCAAAGGAATCCAGCAGCTCCTGGGCACTGAGGGCGCCTCTCTCTCTGTCTTTTCTCTACATGTTCACCTCTGTGACCTAGCATGATCAACTACCCTAGTTTGCCTGCTGGAGAAACTATGGAGAAACGATGGAGAGGTTTCCTGGGTTGCTGGACTTTTAGTGTCAAAACTGGGACAATCTCTGGGCAACTGGGACAGATTGGTCCCCTATCTCTGTCTCCCTTGGACCTTCTGCCTCACTTTCTTCAACGTTCTTCTCCAATACTCCTCTCCCCTCTCCCCCACCAGGTATCTATCTCCTACTCTCTGGTTATTTCTTCCCACTCAGATGTGGCCTCTCCTCCCTGTCCCTTGTGTGTTAGTTTCTGCTTAGGAAATGAAACTCTTTTTTTTTTTTAAATGAAGATAAACTTAAGCAAACTTACAGTCACTGGGAAGGCTCATGATCTGCCAAAAAAATGATATAATAAATTCCAGTGCAAAAAAACAAAGTAGAAAAGAAAGCTACAGGATTGTTTTTGTTATCTGCTGTTTGAAGGACACATGTCACTGTTCTAGGCCCATGATAGGGATGAAGGTGACTGTGTTTGTCACACACAAATGGCCTTGGTTTTCTTGTCATGCCAGGTCTCATCCTTGTTGAAAGAGTGAAGGAGGTTAGCTTTGAATAAATGTGATTACACAAGTTTGCCCCAGTCACTTTCCACTTGAAGTGGAAAGTACAATCCAAAATGTTGCAGATGCCCCCGTCTTCCAAATGTCGTGCTGAGCCTTAATCTAGGTCCCAATGCCAAGGGTCAGGACTGGGATTCCTACTGAGATCAAGCCCTGTATACAGCCTATACTGAATCCAGGAAGTTATTTTCTGATTTCCATTTCTCAAGCCACAAGTATGTACAGTATTTCGCAGTAAAGATATCAAAGGGAAGGAGTAAGGCCACAATACAAACAGACATGCAGGATGGATGAGGAAACATCCTCTTGAAGAAAAATATCTTTCTTGGAGAATACAAATTGCCTTAAAAGTCTAGAGGTAGCAGTCAGCATCCTAGTTGAAAGG